TTTTTTTTTTTTTTTGTAGATAATATGATACTTGAAATATGCTCCATACGCCATTTCTTACTAAACTAAGCAAAATTTCTTTTTAAACCGAAATACTGGGGCAGTTGCTATTCCATAGTCTCTGTTTATGCTGCTGGCGATCCTGACGTTCGTTTCCATTTCCCGAAGATATTATTGTAACATGAGTTTTCGTGATTTATAATAGAAAAGAATGAAAAAAAAGAGAAAGAAGAATGCTTTTTTCTCTCTTTTTCCCATTCTTTCCTGTTATAACTTTTTATTTTCGTAAAAGAAGCATTTTGCAAGCTTTTAGCTGTTTAGAGATGTTCTGGATGCATGTCTCTTGAATAAAAAGTTTGATATTGCCAAACTAGAACGCTGTGTTCTAAGATTTTGCTTCAGGAATCGATCGGTACTTAGTAAATTCATCTACCCTGATGATGTAGGAATTAAAAACTTAGTTAGTTATTTTCATGAACGTTGCCTCCTCATAATTTACATAGAATTATTACCCGTCTTATATGTTAATCTCTTCCTCTTCCATCTGCTCCATCACTTTTATCACTTTCATGCTATTTCACTTTCTCTCCTCTTTTTCTTTCACTTATCCTTCTTGCAAATTAGTTACACGTCTTTTCAATATATGGCGAGAAGGAGACTGTACTGACGATTCCCACTCCTACCCGCATGCACTGTTCGGTCTGTGTATACAACTAAGGGATGAAACACAGACTGCATCATGAAATGTCTTCTTATACATGACACCTAATTCCAATCTTTTTACTCCACTATTCCACTTCTTGATTACAGTGAGGTACCTTTCTGACCACCCCAAATTTCTTATTTTTTTAGCATGTGTATTTTATATTTTTACAGATTAAGTAGAAATTTTTTCAGGTATGAGAATGAGATGCGCGAAAATTGGACGTTTTACGGTTACGAATTCACGAAGTGTCGTTTTCTGAACGAAGAAAAGTGTAAAGCATCGGCCTCGGAAAATTCATCGCCCGGTTTGCACGATCGTGAAGCTTTCGAATTGGGTCTCAGAATCACCTTGATCTCAGTATGAATTTTCTTCCAAATCCTTGATAATTTTGAATTTAAGCGAAGCTAAAATTGGATCTGTCATCGTTTTTTTACATCTGTGGCATGCAAAAACACATATTGTCGAAGGATTCTCCCTGTGTGTGTGTTTGTGTGTTCGTCTGTACCGATTTTTCATCTCGAGGCCTACAAAAGCTACGAGGCTGAAACCATGAGAACTAAATCTACATGCATATGTCAACCCCTATGTCCGAAATGGACGATTTTTCCCACGTGGTTCTCACGTATGGGTCCGTGGAAGGTTTTGGCGGCCAAGTTGCTAACTCGAAAACCAGAAAAGCTAGGCCGTCGTTATGGCCAGTCTCAGTGCCTTTAGCTAGAAGCATCTGCCAGGAAAAACAGTGCGTTAGCCACAAAAACCTACGAGGAAAAAAGATTTTTTGCTTGTGCTTGAAATACACAGCAAGAGCGAATGCTTGCCGAAAGCATTATCCTGCAGCCCGATGCCGCACTTGCGCCAAGCAGTCATAACAGAAGCATTATTGAAGGTATTTCCTATTCGGACTAACTTCCCGTGTCTCAAATCTCACACCCAAAAAATATGCTCGTGCATTGCCAACTTTCCTCCCCTCTCCCGTGTCCTCTGCAGTGCACCCCCCTCCCGGTACCCCGCGTATACGCGGCAAAAACCAGCAACACGAAGAAATGTTGGTGTATAGCCGCCTCTATCAAAAATAATTCAAATTATCCAAACTTAACTGTGATTTTTTCAGGTGATTGATAACAGATTCTCCGTACTGTCTCGTACGCAGCAAGAGCGAATGCTTGCCGAAAGTGTTATCCTGGAGCCCGATGCTACACTTGCACCAACCAGTCATAACAGAAGCATTATTGAAGATATTTCCACAGTTTTCCCCTCCAGCCGTTTACTGTAAAATTACTACTCGTTTTTTTGTCCCACCGTTTGAAACGAGTGACTTTTTTTGTTACAAATCTGATAAATTTGTTGTGATGAAATCGCAAAATTTCTAATATTTTTCGTTTAGTCAACTGATAAATGAAGGACCTGGCATAGCTGTATCTGGCGTTGTGAGAGCATCCTAGTAACATAAGCCATATTTATACTAATTACCCGGGTATTTTTGGTATTTTTTTGCCGGAAGCGACGAACATTGGGTGAATATGGAAGCTTTTTTTGCCCGTTAGCTTTGTTGACCGTTATGTCTTTGATGACCACAGTATTTTGCTTGACCAGTAGGCCATCGGGTTTTTTTTGTTCGAATCGTTTTAACACGAAAGTTTACCACAAATCGTGTAGGATTTTACCCGGAAGTAACGAACATTGAGCGAATATGGAAGCTTTTTTTCCCTGGTAGCTTTGCTGACCATTATGTCTTTGATGACCACACTATTTTGCTTGACCAGTAGGCCATAGAGTTTTTTTTTTTTTTTTTTGTTCGAATGGTTTAATTGAAAAGTTTACCGGTATTTACCCGAAAACGTGTGGAATTTTGCGATTTCATCACAGTAAAATTGACCTCTTCTACGTTCACCTCGGTTTTTTTTAAATAAAAATCTGTTATTTTGTTGTACTCTTTCATCCCCCTATTTGTTGCACTTATTATTCTGTATTCACTACTTATACCTATGGCGAGAACTGACTTATTTTCTGACTGATAAGCATGAAATCATTCAGGTAGGCCTGAACAAAAGAATAACTTAAAATGCAAATTTCAATCATATGAGTGAAAGTTCCATGATTTTTTTGTTTAAAATCAATTTTGAAGCCAAAATCGTCTATGAATGAGCAAAAATTAAGTCGATAGATGTAAAAATTTCGAGAAATGAATTTCTGATATTTTTCGTTTAGCCAACGGATAAACGAAGGGCCTGGCATAGCTGTGTCTGGCGTTGTAAGAGCATCCTAGCAACATCGGTCATATTTATACTGATTACCCGGGTATTTTTGGTAGTTTTTTGCCGGAAGCGACGAACACTGGGCGGGCATAGAAGCTTTTTTTTCCGCTAGTTTTGCTAACCATTATGTCTTTGATAACGACAGTATTTTGCTTGACCAGTAGGCCATTGGGTTTTTTTTTTCGTTCGAATAGTTTTTAATAGAAAAGTTTGCCGGTGTTTACCGAAAAACGTATGGAATTTTACGATTTCATCACAATGAAAATGACCTCTCCTACGTTCACCTCGGCTCTTTTTTTTTAATAAAAACCTGTTGTTTTGTTGTACTCTTTCATCCCCTTATTTGTTGCAATTATTATTCTGTATTCACTACTTATACCTATGGCAAAACCGACTTCTTTTTTGATTGGTAAGCGTGAAATAATTCAGGTAGGCCTGGACAAAAGAACTACTTAAAATGCAAATTTCAATCATATGAGTGAAAGTTT